CTGATTTTAATAGGAAACATCTTGAAAGCATGTCTGATAGAATTATTGAATATTTGGGTCCCGAAGATATCTGGGGTCTTTAGAAAACTGATCTAAACAGACAGTCGGACAGACAGACAGACATGGCTTAATCGACTCCGCTATTTATAAGGATTCAGAATATATATACTTTATAGGGTCGAAAAATTATATTTTGGAAGTTACAAACGGAATGACAAACTTATATATACCCCTCTCACGAAGGTGAAGGGTATAAAAATAAACGCTTTCCAATAGACTTGCTTGTTATTATATTTAACAATAAACATTCCATATAATATAGAAAAATAACTAAAAATATTACAAAATTCTTTTAATTGGAAATATAGGTGCTCAAAGTTGCTCCTTTTAAAAATAAAATAAATTTTTTTTTGTAATATTCCTGAAGCGGCATATTAATTTTGAATTTAAATGTATTATTTTTGATTCTAAGAAAAATAATATTATTAATAAAAAATAATTTAAAAATTATATTTTTAATGGAATAGATCTAACAATGCAGCCACCAAATTATAACTCTTGCATAGGAAATTTTCTATAGAAACATATATACGAAAATTAGCTCCGACCTTTTGTGACCTTCAGAAATATTCAAAAAAATTAGAGTGGCTTATAGAATTTAATATGTTTTTTAAAGTTATATGTAAATTCATATTAGGTATACATAAATTTTGGTCTTGGCACCTTGTATTAGCCTACAATTACTGTTGATAAAAACAATTATTTAAGCCAATCAGGGCTCATAGCTTCATTTAAAAAATAAAATTTTCTGTTTATTTGCAGATTTAAATCCAATGATTATATTTTTTTATAAAAAGCATGGAATTTATATTTTGTTTTAAATACTAATAGGAGTATACATTTTCAAATAGAACAAAATCAAGTCCGCTAATTTATTACACAAATGTTGACTTGGATGTCAAAGTTGTTCGTGCAATTTTAGCTATGTATAATAGTTTCTGAGATAAACGAATTTTTGTATTTCATTTATGAAAGTCCACCCATTTTTTCAGAAATAATAACATGGATGTTAAAGGTCTTCGTGCAAAATTAAGATTCTAACTGCAATAATTTCCCAGATAAATAAATTTTAGTATGTATGTAATTCCTATGGGGGGCTAGACCTCAAATTTTTTGTCCTTAATATTAATATCGATACTAAAGAGGCTCCGAAAAAATTTGAGAACACCTAGGCCCGATAGAGGCTTTTATTTTTTCAGTTACAAACCATTTCAGAGTCTACTTCCTTTCAAAATAGCAGAAAGTTAACTATGTATGTATATCCTACAGCAATATAGTGGTTTAGCTATGTCCGTCCGACTGTCCGTCTATGTAAACCTTGTAATCAAACTACAAGTCGCAATTTTCCAGATAATTTGAAGAAAATAGGCTCGAATATTTCATTTTACCAAAGGACGAAGTTGTTTGAAAATGGATTAAATCGGAGCTCTTAATTGTGGCTTGTCGTTATTTCCCTCTTAAACACTACCATTATGATGAAATTCTGCATATCTAACTCCTATATGAACATAAATCCCTCCACAAAATTTTGATAGGATCGGTCTATAATTGATCCTAGCTGCCATATATAGGCTCTTTCAGATAATCAGTTTTTGATCAATAAATTGCTTAAGAAGTAATGGACAAATTTCAATATAAATGCTTTATTAATAAAGAAATCACATTTTAGATATACTGGCTGACTTCCAAAACGTACCAATACAAAGTTTGAATACAATTTTATTGCGGTATTTATATCTAGTACACATGTAAAGTTTCAAAACATTGCAACGATGCTTTGTTTATTTTCACGTTCTAAAATATAGAAGATGCAAAGTATTGTTTTTAGTAAATCAGCTGTTTGTGTAGTTTTAGCAAATAAGTTCAACAAGCATCAACTTTAAAACTGATGCTCTGATTGCCATATCGCTGCGTTTCTAATACTTGTCGATGACGTTTTGAAACAGTATGCATTGTCAATATTTGTACTGAGGCGTTATGAAACACTATACTTTGTTCGTACACAAAGCAACTGACGTTTTGGAAGTCAGCCACTCATAACTGGTATCATATGGTCGGCCATTCCCGACTAATATTTTTTTATTAGTTTTTATTTCAAGAACTTTAAAAATATATAACTATTTAAAAAAAGTTAATCTATCATTAAATAAATTTATTACATTTTATAAAAATTAGTATAAGCATTTTTGAAAATTGTTAAAAAAAAACCAAGAAACATGCAAGTAATTCTATGGTAAAAACATGAAATATTTTTATAAAGCATAACTCTTTAATTTTGCATAGATTTTTATAAAATAAAATGTTTAGTTTTTATGTACCTACGTGATTTTGTTATTAATTAATAAAATTAAATGCTGAATAAAATTATCTTTCTTGTGTTAAGATAAGGGCAGAATGAAATTTGTGTATTGTAAATTAATTTGAAAAAATAGTTTTCGACCATATCCCTCGCAAAATAATTGTCTGTAGTTAGAACTATACAGGTATTTTTAAATACCTGTAAAATAGCTGTTTATGCATAAAAGTGAGCATTTTAAAAACTAATAGCTCATATAATTAAATATACTTTACTCCAGTATAGCCACAATTTTAGATTTTGGGGAAGGATCAGAGATATCAGAAGTCGCGCATAGAATATGACGTCGATTTAAAAAATTGTCTGAGAGTGAAATATAGCTACAGTCAAGCCATAATTATTGATATATTATATGTTACGATCGGACTTAAAATGGCGACGTTATATATAAAAAAACAAAAAGGGCGGTATTTCTAGGCGTGCCAAAAAAATATTTTTGTAAATGTTATTAACATATCTTTAATCGTAGGGGGTGACTGATTCAACTTTTTTCCGACCCACCCTTATATACATTCTCCTTTCAAACTAACTAACTAGCAGTTATACTTTTACAGATATACTAATTTAAGATTCGTTTATATGGGATATGCCACGCCCACTATAGCTAGGCTGCTCATTTTGTCAACAAAATTCGGGGACTCTACTCTGTTGTAGTTTCTAAAATATGCGAATTTTAATAATTATCTAAATATATAAAAATGAATGTGTGTTTGTATGTTTTTATACGCACCATCAAAAAAGATGGGGGGTATATTGATTTTGTCATTCCGTTTGTAACACATCGAAATATTGGTCATAGACTCACAAAAGTATATATATTCTGGGTCCTCATTAAATTCTAAGACGATCTAGCCATGTCTGTCCGTCCGTCCGTCTGTCTGCCTGTCTGTCTGTTGAAAGCACGATAGAGTCCGAATGGAAAGAGCTAGGGGGTTGAAATTTCACATAAATATTTCTTATAGGTAAGGTTTGTTTGGTATGAAAATGGGCAATATCGGTCCACGTTTTCGGATAGCCCCCATACAAGTGGCCCCTCGAAAAGCAGCTTTAACAGCCATAACTTGTTTAAAAATACGAATATAGCGATGAAATTCGACATAAGTAAGTTTCTTGTGATCAAAATCACTATGCAAAATTTTATGAGGATCGGTCTATAATTGACCCTATCCCCCATATAAGGTCCCCTTCAGAAAATGACTTTAACGCTCATTACTGGCTTAAAAATACTAGTATATAGATGAAATTCGACATAAGTAAGTTTCATATGAGTCAAAATCTATCTAAAAAATTTTATGTTGATCGGTCCATGATTGACCCTACCCCCCATATAAGGTCCCCTTCAGAAAATGACTGCAACGCTCATTAATGGCTTAAAAATACGAGTGTAGCGATGAAATTCGACACAAATAAATTTAATACGAACCAAATTCTGTCTGCCAAATTTTATGAGGATCGACCCATAATTGACCCTACCTCCCTATATAAGGTCCCCTTCAGAAAATTACTTTAACGCTTATAACTGGCCTAAAAATACGAGTATATAGATGAAATTCGACATACGTTTCATTCGATTCAAACGAGGTTTGATGGTGGGTATATAAGATTCGGCATAGCCGAATATAACACTCTTACTTGTTTTGTTTGGACTTTATAGACAGCTAAACTGCTGGACCGATTTTTCTGAAATTTACATAGTGTCTTTCTGTATGTCTGGGAGAAACTATAGGCTACTTTTTACTTCAAAATTTCAAGTGGGCGACGTGCCACGCCCACATTCAATATAAGTATTAAAAGTCGCATATCTCAGAAACTGCAAGAGATGGAGTCCACAAATTTTGTATGGACAACTTTGACATTCATAAGAATATTTTTGGATAAAATGGGCAGAATGGCTAAAGTGGGCGTGACACCTTCCATATGAAGAAAATCTTAAATTAGTATATTTGAGAAAATGTAAAATTATGTCGGAACCACTTTAGTGTCAATATGATTATTTAAGGAAAAAGGGGGCGTATTAGCAGTAGGAGGCGCGGCATCCCCATATGAATTAAATACAAAAATTCGCTTATCTGGGAAACAATCTCAGTTAGAAACTTCAAATTTTGCACGAAGTACTTTAACATCCATGTAAACATTTTGTGTAATAAATTGACGGACCAATAGGGGGGATTGCTCCTCCCATTTGAATAAAATATACAAAAATTTGTTTATCTGGGAAACTAACAGAGCTAGCTTCTTAAAATTTTGCACGAAAAAATTTAATATTCATCTGAACATTTTGGGGGAAAAGGGCGGACTTTTATCAGGGGGGCTTGGAACCCCCTATACATTATAAAAGATTTTAAAAGAAGATAAGAATAACAGTGGCAAGTTTATAATATTTTATATCAGCTCGTGCAAAATCAATTTTTTCCTTTAATGGATGAAAAATCTATTTATTGTAATAAAATTAGGAGACTATAGGCTGTTAAATTAGTTTTGTAGATACAAACGATTAAAAATTTTTCGATTTTGGTGGGTTCAACCTTTATATATTTCATCTTTAGTTTATTAATCGGACATATAATAAATTATATCTTTTTAGGAGGTACATTACGGATGCTGAGCGAAAAGAATTATGTCATCAAAGTATAAATTATTCCATAAAAATTTTAAGATGTATCCTTCAAAGAAATGCTGAAAAGCGCGATGACTCTGAAATTTTAAATCTTCTAATAGACGTTTATAAAATTCATAAAAAGTGTGTTAAATACATGAACCAAAAAGAGCCAATGTTTGCAGAACTCCTTATAGACGTTTACAAATGTTTTATAAAAGATAAAGTTGAATATGTTCCGGATAGTTGTAATTTTCTGGACTTAGCAATTAAACTTTGCGTACAGGAGATAACAGCACAAAAAAATAGTGAGAAATCTTTATACACTGAAAATACTTCCAGTACATCGGATTATATTGTGTCACTGTCATCAACAACACAATCATTTTCCAATTCTATGGTAAGTATAAAGTCGCCATTTAATTCTTAAACTGTTCTATAACACAAAAAAAGTATTGCCAGGTTTTTTTCAATTAACATGTTTTCTTCCTTTATTTATTTTCATTAAACATTTTTTATTTATCTTAATTATCTCGTTGTTAATAGTTGATTTGATATATTTTTATATATCGTAATGTTTGACTGCAAAAATTATAAAAATAAATACATATGTTCTCAACAAAAAATTAAAATTTGGTTTATACTAAGATCCCATTTCTCAAAAATGTTGTCCTGACGTCAATATTTGGTAAAGGGTCATTGTGAGACGATTTCAAATTCAAAACTAATACAAATGATGTATTTTTTGGAAAATGTTTATATTTTTACATAGAATTATATAATTTAAATAATTGAAATGCATTATAAACCTCATATTATTTCATCTGTTTTATAGCAAAATCGTAATTTAAAATCGGTTAAAAAATTTTAGTTATTAAAATTTTCTGACGACACATAAAAGTTAATATAAGATTTTTTAGTTTACCTTTACAAGATACATAAATTTGCTAATACGAATTTCAAAGTGGATAACGCTTACTTGGTTTAGTCTGTGTCTGTCAGAAAATTGGTTTTGAATATTATCGATTTTTTCAAAGTACAAAAAATAAATTTTTTTATTCAAAATAAATTATCTGCACTCAAATGAAATATCAGCATATGACAATCTATTTGAAGAGTTTAAATCATTAAAGTGCCTTAATTCTCCACAGCAATCTTCTCCAAAACGACGTAAATCATCTAGAACTAAAAATAAAGAGAATTCCTCCATAAGTCCTGTTGTGCCTGTTTCAAATAGTACGGATTCTAATTAAAACACACCTTGTACAACAACAAGTATTTCTAGTGCTTCAACGTTGAATACCAGAAGTCCTTAACAATGTTAACAATGTAAAAGTTTATAATTTTAAAAGAAAAAATTGCATTCAATTAAACAATTTAATATTCAATACTAATTAAGCTAGGTATACACGGTTGTTAGATCTTACAACGTTGGCAGTAAAATATGCAGAAAATGTCTAACAACGGTGTCAATTTACAAATTTTGTCTTGCAATATTGTCAGTAATGCTTTTTCTGACAACGTTGCAAAAGAAAAATTGCAAGTTCACACGATTGTTGGACATTTTCTGCACATTTCACTGACAACGTTATAAGATCTGAGCTTTTACTTAAACAATACTACTTTGGATGACATGGCAGAGAAATTTTATAATAAAATGTGATGTATGTACCCCTAAACTAACATCTTACAAACGCATTGGTCCTCCTTGGAATTCTAAATATTTGGCTAAACTCAAGAATTTAAAGAATAAATATTATAAAAAATTTAAGAAATATGGCTCACTTACTTATTATGGCAAATACTCTATTGCTCGTGCCGAATACAATACTCTGAATAACTGCTTATATCATACATATTAAAAAAAATGAAGAACGATTTTAAACAAAAGCACAATCGTTACTCAAGCTATTAATAATTCTGTTCAATACTTCCATTAAATATGGTTATTTTCCAATCATGGAGATCACCTTATATCATTCCCTTATTTAAATCTGGTAATAAATCTGATATAACCAATTATAAAGGTATTGCTAAGCTTAATGAATTATCTAAGATTTCTAAAAGACTCATCCCCCACTACATGGATTTTGGAAAGGTTGCTCTACTACAACGGATGTCCTTCATCTTACAACATATTTTAACCAAGGCTTATTTCAAAGAAATCAAACTGATGTTCTATATACTGATAGTAGTAAGGCTTTTGAAAAATTAAATCATAACCTTCTTCTTAATAAGCTGAACCTTCGGGGTTTTAAATCCCTGAGTCTTAACTGGATAAAATCTTATCTCTAGGATAGAACTCAATCTGTAAAGTTCAACGATAAATACTCCAAAAATATTATGGTTACTTCTGGTGTCTCTCAAGAAGTGTTGCCAAACCTATTTGGGAAAAGTGCAAGATTATTTTTTAATATGTTTATCTCTTCAAAATGAGCAAGTCCGAGGTTAATATGATGACACGTATTCTGAGTGGACACATAGGACTACGAGCACATTTATACAAAATTATACTTGCGGATTCAGACAAACGTAGAGCATGTGGAGAGGGCAGTGAAACTCTGGAGCACTTTCTTTGCCAGTTTCAGGCATTCGTCGAAGTTAGATCCCAGTATCTTGGAAGTGATGTTACTCCGGAAATAACATTCCTGACTAACACTGATTGGAAAATTCTTAGGAATTACGTCCAGGAAACCAGAGTTGTGACTTATTTCAAATAAATGTATTTAACATAAAAATAGAAAATATGTATTTTATTTTGAATTAATTTTTTTTCCTCAAATAATATTTCATATTTTATTTGAAACGTTTCAAATACTTATTTTGTATTTGTAAAAAAAAAATATTCTTGTAAATTTTTGTTGGAAAAATAAGGAATTTGCTAAATTTTAGATAGCTAAATGAAGGTTGGCGCAAGGCATCGCATTGCAAAGCATCGACCTGTACGCAGGAACACGTTGTAGGCTTATGTAAAAAAATTACCTAAAGGTGGAAGATAATATACCCTGAGTGGAATAATGTTTGTTCCAAATGAAAAATTCTAAACCGCCAAATTAATTTAGCAATACTTAAGTTTGTGCCAAAAATTATGAAAAATTAATATTTTTATGAAAAATTAATGTTTTTGTGAAAAATAAACATAAAAATTTTAAAATTTACGGAGAATCTTTGTTGTAAATGGAAAATTCTATTCCGGCGTAGTAATTTTTAAGATTTACACGTTGTAGTCAGCAGGTAAATACCACATTTGGGTTTTTTATATAAAGAATTCCGGACTAGAAATTTTTTAGTTAATCGCGTTATCTACAAAGTGTAAATTTAAAATGTAAAACAATATTGTTTAATTTGTTAACATTTAATAGAAAACAAGTGAGAGTGTTATATTCGGCTGTGCCGAATCTCATATACCAGACGTCGGCCCTAGTATTGTTCTGACCAGTGTTGCCATAACGGCATTAAAAGTGCAATTCTAGCACTTTTTTTTCGTCCGCTGCACTTATTTTTTAGAAAAAAGTGCTAGATGCTTTTTAGCACTTTTTCGTCTTTTGCTTGAAATTTTTAGCATTAAAAGTGCATTTTTGGCATTTTTTCTTCTATTTTGCACTTTTTATAATTAAAGAACTTTAAAGTTTAATTTCTCTAGAGAACTGCAAACATTTTTTGCATATGTTTATTGTAATTTATAATTTACACTGTAAATTAAATTAAGAAATAAATCGCTTAAACGTCAGAAGTTTAATATGGCTACGAAAAGAGAGAACGGTTATACCATTAATTTTTCTACTATGGTTGTAAGTATATAAGTAATTTATTTTTACAAATTTTGGTTTTTTAGAATCAGTATTTTTTTTCAAATTAAATATACATATAATTTTTAACAACATTTTCATGGATTCAATAAGAAATTTTTTGTATTATTATTGCAAAAATACAATTAATAATATATGCCAACGATGAAAAAACTTTTTATATAATTTTCACTAATCCCATTGTTATTTGATGTGCAGATTCCGAATAAGGAAATTAAAAAGTTGTATTACCCACCAATTTTCCACATTTTCATCTTTTAGTCCTTCTGACTGTATACTTGAGTTCCAAAATTATGTAATTTTACAGAAGTTGCGAATAGTGGCCGTTTCTGCCTCCAGACTTATACTTAAAGTTATAGAAATTCACTCTGGAAAAATTTAGAGCGATAGAATCACGTTAACTGGTGGCACCACGGCACTGAAGGGGAAGTAAATGTATCCTTTTGGATTTTAACAGCAAATAATGGAAATATACATTCAATTATCGTTCCAATAAGATATAAAACCCTCGGCAAAAATTGTAAAAGTTATTAAAAGAAGGGTAAGTAAATGTATCCTTTTGGATTTTAACAGCAAATAATGGAAATATACATTCAATTATCGTTCCAATAAGATATAAAACCCTCGGTAAAAATTGTAAAAGTTATTAAAAATTCCTCCGATCAAAATATTTTAAAAAATTAATAAATTTTGGAAAATGTTCTAGTAAACTATATAATTACGTTAAATGTATTCGTATTAACTTAGATATGAGTTTTTATTCTCATTAGATAGCGTAAACCGTATTTGGGGTATAGTCATAAATGGGAAACCCTTCAGACGGCACATTCAAAAAACTTTTACCAATTTTGTTAAGCAAATTTCAAAATTTAAAGAAAATCTCCATGTGAATTATGGACAATAAAGAGTGGAATAGAACAGTAAACATTCAGTTCTATATCTCTCACATATTAGCGGTACCTGCGACTTGAATATTAATGATTTCGGAGAACAAAGCTTTTTGTTAAAGTTTTTGAAAAACAAGCTTTATTTTTTATTGCTATCCACTTTATATAAAGGAAACATACAAAAAACAAGTAAGAGAGTATAGTCGGGCGTGACCGACCATATGATACCCTACACCAGTTATGAATATTAAATGTGATTTATTTTTCATAATAATTCATTGTTCCGATACATTTAAGCAATTTATGGATGAAAAACTAATTATGAAAGAGGCTTTATATGGGGGCTAGGGGCAAATATGGACCAAGCCCGATAAAATTTTGGACATTCAAGTAATTTTCGGAAGGGGACTTTGTATAGGAGCTAGGGTCAAATGATGCCCGATTTTTATGAAATTTGGCAAGGTCATCAAGACTTGTATATAACTTAGTTGTGCCGCTTTTTATCGATATACAGGTATATTTAACATAATTATAAGCTCAGAAGCCCTTTTCGGGGGGTTCTGTTGTATGGGGGCTAGGTGAAATAATGGATCGATTTTAACCATTTTCAATAGGGTTCGTCCTTAGGTCAATTATCTTGAAAATTGCGACCTGTACCTTGCGCACAAGGTTTACATGGACAGCCAGCCAGACGGACGGACATA